AGCCATCTGGTCATGGTCCTGGGCAACTGTCTCTATGTGGCCCTGCTTGAGCAGGGGAGTTAGACCAGATGACCTCCAGAGGTACCTTCTGACTTCAACCGTCATGTGATTCTGAAATAGTTCTGGGCTACTAATGGCCTGAGACTTTAAGTGCTTTCATCCTCATGGAGAGGGTTGGGGTATGTAATAGGAGTCTGTGATATCTCTATCTAGGGATGGATATTAGATGGTACAGAAAAATACTGTAATGCTGTAATTTGAAATTTGGTTCTTCCTCTGTATATGTCACATATATACAAGATACACTGTGGACCTCTGCAAATGCTTCACTGAACGCACGAGTGTGTTAGAAATCTTATGGTCTGATCTGCACAGCGATGCCAGCTGAAATACGTTCTTACAGTGACTTTTTATAATGTGCTTACTCAATAGGTAAAACGTTCTAGGAGTAAAGGAGGACTGGCTGGGCCTGATGGTACAAAGTCAGTGTTTGGACAGATGTGTGCTAAAATGAGTTCCTTTAGCCCTGATAGCCTTCTGCTTCCTCATCGTGTTTGGAAAGTCAAGTTTGTTGGTAAGAAGATTCTCCACCCCCCCCACCTATTTTGCACTTAACTTTACAGTTTTCTTCAGATTTACTTTTTTGGAGGACCTGAAGGAAGGAAGGAATATAGGAAAACAATCTATGTGTGTAGGCAGAGGAAGGTGCTTAAAATGTTTGGAAGCAAAAAAGCCTTTTTAAATCATTTTATAAAAAACCTCAAGATTAGTGGAAATGTGTCCGTAATTGTCCTCAAATTCGGGGGGCAACTCTTTTGCTAACAACAAACATTCTGGAAAACCTAAACTTGTTTTTCAGCTCTCTGAATTGCTAAATAATCCTGGCTAGCTGGTTTTACTGGTAGGGTTGTTTTTACAATTCACATATTACTTTGAACTTTTTGATGAAAAATATTTTAGATTGAAGAGCCATTCTATCTACTGTATATGAGATATATAAAATCTATCTACTTTAAAATGTTACTTAGGAATCGCATTGCTTTGGCTTTCTTTTTCTACCTCTATTCTATTTTATTTTAATTAGTGTATAACACAAAAATATTAGTTACACTCTGGCAAAATAGTATTTTTGACACTGTGATATGTTCTATAATCTTCTAAATAATATGATTTGCAATGAACTTGAAATATCCAAATATAAAGCAAAACATAAAGGGTTTTCATATGAACAGATATGACAGTGTAGCTTTTAGTAAACTTTTGTTTACTCAATCATCCCCGTGGATGGAAATACAGTTTATTTCAATGCTTCATTTATTTTTAAAAGAACATTTAATTTTAAGCCTTTTTTCTTCTCCAAGGTGAATCTGTGGATGATTGCGGTGGAGGTTATAGTGAATCAATAGCAGAAATGTGCGAGGAGCTACAGAATGGGCTGACCCCTCTGTTAATTGTGACACCAAATGGAAGAGATGAATCTGGAGCAAACAGAGATTGTTTCCTATTAAATCCTGCTGCCAAGTCCCTCTTGCATATGAACATGTTTCGTTTTCTTGGTAATTTCGTAGCAACATTGTGACATTCTACTTGCATTACATGATCAGAATATTGGGAATCTAATAAAAAAAAATTTAAAATATTATGTTTAAACTTACAGGAGTACTTTTGGGCATTGCTATCCGGACTGGCAGCCCTCTGAGCCTCAACCTGGCTGAGCCAGTGTGGAAACAGCTTGCAGGAATGAACCTAACAATTGCTGATCTCAGTGAAGTAAGTGTGAAGTTTCTGAGTAGGATATAACTTAGAGAAGACAAGCAGACTCTAGCATAAATTTTTCTCCAGTGATTGGCTTCCCTTGTTGCTATATATTTGTATTTTGACTGGCCTTTTACATTTTGAGCCAGTATATAAGGGTGACTTGTACTCACTGTTAAAACTGTAAATTTACAAGTCGTTCAAAAGTAGTTAAATAAGCTATTTGAATTCTAGAGCATTCTCAAATCTTCTCGTGGGTTTGACTAGACAAATGTTTGTGGTTGAACTCCTACTTTCCAGTAGACCTTTCTGTAGCTGTTACTGTCTGTTGTGCCAAGATGCAGTAACTGATTGGGTGCATACGCCTACACTGTTTTGAAGTAAAAGAAAATTAGTTCAAACTACTACTGAAAATAGTTTGTGCCCACATACTGAACATCACAAACTTTCAATTTCTGTTTACTGAGCTCGATAAATGTGGCGTAAGAGTTAGGTCTTTGTTACAAAGAAGAGTTCCTTCTCAAATACTGTCACGTAGAAATGCACTTACTGTAAAAGCATTGAGTCATTTACTTGTCAGTAAGGGGATTTCTTTTGTACCAAAACCAGCATTGGACTTTGTAGATGTGATTATGTTTTTAAGCTTTAAATCCATTTTCTTACATAATACAGTTTCTAGGCAAATGCTCCCCAAAAGGATTGAAATCTAAAACACATGCACCCTCCCACATCCCAGCATAATGAAATTTTGTGTAAAATACGAAGGCATTTTATGACTTGGAAACTCAGTTAGATGGGTTATGGTCAGATACTGGACAATGCTTTTGGTAGATGACACATGATGCACTGCTTTTGGTCTCCAAGAGATGCTGTTGTATAGTGCTAGTAAACTCACTTTAACTGGGGCTTGTTATTTTCAAAAGGTTGATAAAGATTTTATTCCTGGGCTTATGTACATTCGAGACAACGAAGCTACTTCAGAAGAGTTTGAAGCTATGAGCCTCCCATTCACTGTGCCTAATGCAAGTGGTCAAGATATTCAGTTGAGCTCCAAGTACACCCATATTACACTGGATAATAGAGCTGAATATGTGAGGCTGGCAATAAACTACAGGTTTGTTGAATAAGTCATTCAAATTATTGACATGAATAAGAATTTTCTTTTAAAAAATATGTAAAAATTTTTAAACAATATACTACTTTAACCTCTTATGTACAAGTATTTTAATATTTTCATGTGATTGTGGTGTTGATTTTCTGATTTCTTTTAATCTCTCTAAGGAGAAAAGATTGAACTTAATTTTTAGGAAACAAAATAAACAGGCAGGTATGGCTCTAGATTTTAATAGGTGTCCTGACAAGGCAGTTTTGGCAGTCAGTTTTACAGGTGGAGAAAATGCCCCATCCATCTAGTTCTTCCTGTGTGATAAAGTAGTAGGCTTGATCATTAAGTTCTTTGTGAAGAGAGCTTAGATTTTGTACTACTGCTCCCACAGTTTTTTATATGATCAGTTGTAGTCAAGAGCAGTCCCAGATGAATTCTTATTATGTTCTTATCTAAGTTAGAATATGCAAACTGAAATGTTCATTCCCTGGACACCATAAAATAAGTCTGATACCTATGTGCAGACAAGTAGATTCACCCACAAGTGCCCAAAACCTGAACATTGCACTGGAATCAGTGGGAAATAATTGTTCAGTATTTGAGAAGACAGGCCTTTGGTTACTTAAATACCTAGATAGCTAATCTAGACAAGTACATCTAAGAAGCAACCATAGGCATCTTGTTATGTGAAACAGTGGGCCTAGTGCCTATTGAACTGTGGAAATATAGATAATTTGGACGAGAAACTGATTCATAGTTTATTCTCTCAACCATAGTTAACTGTTTTAGAGAGTGCTTGAGCAAGACTTTATCATCACTATATACTTATTATTAGCTTATTAGTTTGTAGTTATAGTGTCTGCCAACAACTACTTAAATATGGTAAGTCTTTGTTCTGGGTTTTTTTTTTTTCCACTTCCTATAAATTGTTCTGAACCAGTACTTAAACCTATTTTTGACAGCAGAGAGGAATTTAATTTGGAATGGTTAAATGATATGCCTGTATAAAATGTTACATTCCTTTGAAGAAATGGTTTTGTTTTCTTGCCAATTCTGGCTATCCTCAAAGGACATGAGCAATTCTAAAGCATTTTGCAGTTAAAAGTCCTTTGGGAGAAACATTTAAATGTTTAGATTAAGTATTAAGTTTTTTAATTATATGAAGCCCCTGAAAGAAAAATTAGCACCTGAATAGAATCCGTGTGAAAAAGTTGATGCATAAGACCACATTTGTCCTGACACCTTTCTTTATTTTGGTGATAACAAGCCTGAGGACAGGACTTGTCAATGATGCAAATCTCTGCTCTGGAGAGCTCTGTAAAACATCTCAGAAATTATTTGACAGGGAAAAAAAATGCAAAACACAAATCATGGGCGGCAGCAGAAGCAGCAGAGTGTTAGATTTATCTGTGTCTGTCTTGAAATACAGCAACTCCTGTCCTCAGACATCATGGTTTAGTTCAGACCCATATTTCTTTTACCATAATGTCTGTCTAGTGTTGGGAATGTTTGAGGACAGAGTTTCGAAGCACAAAAGAGTTTCTTTTCCCAAGAGCATGTTGTTTCCAAATGGAGTATTGGTTTGTTCTTGCCAGGCACAGCACATGAATAATACTGGAAATAAAATATCCTAAACATTGGGAGGTATCTCTCCACACTGAGCTTGCTGTGCAATATGAATTGGTGTAGAAACTGGTATAAGTCAGGTATCTTGTGTGATAAATATTTATTAATGTTCCTTGGCACATAGCTGGAGACTTGGGGAGAATGGTTAAAGTTTCCTTGATATTACAGTAATTGCTAGAAATAATTGCTAGAAATGGTGTTCATAGAAACTCTGAAAATGTGTCTCTGCAGACTTCATGAATTTGACGAACAAGTTGCAGCAGTTCGTGAGGGGATGGCCCGTGTTGTTCCAGTTCCTCTACTTTCGCTTTTTACAGGATATGAACTGGAAACTATGGTATCAATTTCTGTTTTGCTACTCTGCCAGACTAACTTGGAGTGAGATTCTTCACTTATATCTTACTAATCCAAACCCACATTAAATATTATTTACAATGCTTGCTCTGTGATTGCAAATATTTTGTCCAAGGAAAGACTAGAAAATGTTTAATTGCCCTCTTAGTATTAATAAGATTATTTTGATATAGCTGGGCAGTGATGTAATGAATTATTTTTGGAAGAAACAAACAAACAAAGCCAAAAAAACCCACAAAAGAGGGACCCAGGAGGTGAATTGGAGATATTTGTCCCAAGTAAAATGTTTAATTCTTTATGTGATTCAGGAATATGAAAGAAGGTTCATTGAAGTCCCCTGATGGGAAGATGTATATTTAGTATTATTGTAATAGGAGACTATGTGCAGCACTTCAAATATTTGAATGTTCATTTTGTCAGTGTAAAAGCTGATTAAATATTTTAAAGGAATGGAGGGAACAAATCGCCTGTAATTCATTTGATCAGACTTTTGTAGCCTATCACTATATTTTATTTTTCAGGTATGCGGAAGCCCAGATATTCCACTTCACCTTCTGAAATCTGTAGCAACTTATAAAGGCATTGAGCCAACTGCTTCCTTGATACAGTGGTTCTGGGAAGTGATGGAATCCTTCTCCAATACAGAGCGATCTCTCTTCCTGCGTTTCGTGTGGGGCAGAACAAGGCTGCCGAGGACTATTGCAGACTTTAGAGGGAGGGACTTTGTTATTCAGGTAGGGTGTGTGGGATGGGGTGTGGGATTTTTATTTTAAAAAGCAGGTAGGGGAGAAGTAGTAGCATGCCATAACAGGAGAACAGGCTGATTTCATTAAACTGTTTATGCAGCATTACATTGTAGATTCGACAGTGCAACAGAGACCAATAATATGTATAAATATTTTTCTCTCTTGACTTGAGCAAGTGGATATTCGTTTCATTTCCCACCCATTTGCTTCTCTGGATTTTGATAGTTTTCCACTGTCAGTCATCAACTGTTTTTGCTGCCATTTAGTTAGCATTTCATTCAGCTCAGTAACCATTTCAGCTAAATTAAAAAACCACAATCTTCAAATCATATTTTGGTATTTGCTGAAGTAATATAATCTTTTTTAGATTGTTCCCAACCACATTTTCATAGTCAAAGAAGCTCATATGTGTCTGAATTTATTTATTTACTTAGAGTAGGGAAAATGGATTTGGTCTTTTCATTGTTCTTTTAAGAAACTTCAGCATCAGAATCACAAATCTAACATGCTGTTAAAAAAAATTCTCAAGTATTATTCTGATATTTATTTGTCGTTTGGACAGTGAATCAAAAATACTACGCTTTTTGTTTTCAACAGGTATTGGATAAATACAATCCTCCAGACCACTTCCTTCCCGAGTCATACACTTGCTTCTTTCTCCTGAAGCTGCCCAGGTATTCCTGTAAGCAAGTACTAGAGGAAAAACTGAAGTATGCCATTCATTTCTGCAAGTCTATAGACACTGATGATTATGCCCGGATAGCGCTGACAGGAGAGCCAGCGGCTGATGACAGTAGTGATGATTCTGATAATGAAGATGCAGATTCTTTTGCTTCAGATTCTACGCAAGACTACTTAACAGGACATTAAAAAAATAATATAAGGGATAGTTGTCACAAGCACTGAGGCAAAACGCCAAAATGACAATGAAGCCAAGGACAGTTTAGGTCTCAGAATATAGAGTATGTAGTCAGAGGGATGGTAATCTTCTGAACATGGGGAAAGTGTGTTTGCTACTCACAGTAGGAATTAAGGGTTACAGCTTAAACCATCAGCTTAGAATAAATGGCACAGTAATGGGCATTTAACATTTATTTTAAGAGCTGAAACTGGCCCCCCATAATGCTGCACTACATTTAGAACCTTTGTGTTTACTGAAGTGTTGTAAATGTTTATATAAATATGGTAGTGCAGCATCCAAAAGGCAGTGAAACCTTTCAATTGTGGGTGCAATAGGTTTTTTCACATTAAGTGTTGTGTTCTGTGCATCTTCTTGATTGTATATTGGAAATACTGTGCAACAACTGAATAGTATTATAAATATTTCAATTAACTTTACTAGAAGTTTGTTAAAAATTTTTGGACATTGAATTAACATTATTCCTTGAAATTCTTCTATAGATAATAAAAACAGCCAATAGTTTCACCTCCACCCCTGGTTTGTATATTTTAGCTTATGCATTATTTATCTCAAATTTGATACCTTTCTGTGAACAGCATCATAATTCTTATCATGGAAAGTGTACTGTATATAATTTGTGCCATGTAAATGCAAAAGTTATAATTTCCCTCCAAATAAAAGTTCTGCCACAGAAAAAAATAGTATGTGTTTTTTTTAACAGTAATACAGCTGTTACATGGGATGAATGGCTCTACTAAGAAATGTTTCTGCAGTTTACAGCTGTTGACCAAACGTTGCTGGTGCTGCTCCACCAGTATGTAGCTATAGTAGGTGCATTGCCATAGGCAGAACGTGAGCTGTAGTAAACTCAGAGCAAGTCTACACAACACATTATTGGTAGCGGTTAGGTACGCTTTGTTTACACAGTTGTTCCTAATGCTACTGTTGTCAGTAATGGTAAATTTGTTCTTGGACACCTAGGAAAAAACATGCTTTTGAGGAAGTGTAAGGGACAGATGTCTTCAAGTACCTGAATGTGAGTAGAAGAATATGATGACAGCCGTATAACATATTGTCTCTGAGAAAATTAGATCATTTTACAAGGCTTGATCACGAAATATTGCACATCCAGAGTAGCCTGTTTGAATAACTCATTGAAATCAAGTGGTGTTCAGGCAGGTATTATGTGTTTAGTACACAGTGTAGGCACTAGTTTTTCCAAGTAGGAAAATAAGATTTAGTTGTGCCAAAGCACTAGTATTTTACTTTAAAATCTAGTAAAAGGTGATGTCATATCTTTCCTTCACTAATTATTAGGATAGGTATATGTGAATATTTAACATTTTACAATTCAGAGCTGATTCTTTTTTTTTTTTTTTAGTGTGTGTATTTGACTTCTACTCCAACTTCTGTAAATTTAAATATTAACTCTGGTCATGAAATCAGTTTTCCTGAGTCATACTTGATATTTCAAAATGCTAGTGAAACTACCTATTTGTTGTCACGATGTCAGAGTTTTGAAATTCATGAGCTTTAGAGACCTCTATTTCGTGCTGAAGATCTCTTGCGATAAATGCTCCTGTCCCGATCCTCTGTCTCACTAGAGGTTCCACAAGTCAGGCCTGTGTCCTGATCTCCAGATTTTCTCTCTCTGCTGATGAAAAAAGCTGAGTCTTTTTTGAGTCTTAAAAAAGATGCAAAACCCAAAAACCTTAAGCAACCTCTTTTATCTTTGCTGCTGAATTGAATTTCTCCTGAGGTAAGGGGTGGAGAATCTAGTACAGAAGTGCTCATGTGGCCGTCTGCTGTCCTTCGCCATGGTAACACTGGACCCCTGTAGGCATCCAGCTCGATCAAAGAGATTCTATAGTCAGCTTTTCAGGAGATGTGATGGATGAGTCATGCCCAAATGCCACAAGCCCAAGGACTGAGACCGAGTTCAATTGCCATTCCTGAATTTCAAACCCCGTTTCAGGAGCGTATGAATTACCGTAACATGGAGAAGTTTTGTAACTTGCTTAGGAAAGAAAAAGAATGCTGGAGTTTTTCTTCCAAGAAAAGCAAAAAGGAAGTATCTGTTATGTAAGGAAGCAGTTTACGTTGTTAATTAGTGAACCGCATAAAAGAAGTTTTTTAGGTCTCCTTCTTTGCTTTCCCATCCTAGCAGAAGAGTCTGCCCTTTTACAGTGTGAAATGCTTGTCGCCTATGGCCTGACTTACAGCATTTCTGAGTAGCCAGTTGTTGTTTTTGAAAAAAACATTGTTTCAAGTGGTCAAAAAATGGGATTTGCTCTTAATTGGCTTTTAGCTGCAAATTCCTAGTCTGAGAAGGAAAAGGTCTCAACCTTGCAAATGAGGAATGGATTGCAAGCGCTCCTTTCCCTTCTTCATATGTTACTTCCCTGTAAAACCAAAGATGGTGGTTTGATTTCTTGCAAAGCTTTACCATTATGAAATTGCAGAAGACAGAGAAAAATCCTTTCCCATGTTGAAAATTACTCCTTGTTGCCTGGGTAAATTCCTGATACCTCTAAAACCACCTCATGGCTGCTAAACAACCTGTGAATAAGGAGAGAAGGTCACTGAGTCCCATCAGGGAGTTTAGGGGACATGGACCATTTATAATCACGGTATTTGTTCCTTAACATCATGTTAGTCAAAGAAGTCTTTAGGCCAGCATATATAAGTATTTGCCTCCCCTGCAAGCATCGTTATCAGCAGACTATGTGCAAAACTAAACCATGCAGCACTCTTCTAGAAAAAAGGGAAGCAGCAGCTTCCAAAGATCTCACGGGTAGAATATTTTCACTTTTTAGTTTAAAGAAAATGTACGGATGTGTAGTTTCCTGTAGATGTTGCCTTTCAAGGTTAATCTCCTGATGAATCTTACAATTAAAAATTACAGTTAACTAAAACATGCCAACATGGTTCTTTTACTCAACTGGGGTTCAAGGGTGTGAGATTGGTGGAAAAGTTATTCTATGGTGGAGTCATGTCCTTATCTTAAGTGAGAACTGCAGCAAAACAACACAATTGTGAATGTGACACACAAACTATTTGTGAATTGATGCTCCTAATACTTGGAAAAGATTCTGCTGATTCGCATGTTTGTCTCAAATGTGAATGTTGATGGTGTATCTTCAGCCTTGCATTTAGTCATCTGATGGCTGGCGAGTAAGATTGTGCAAAGATCTCACAGAAACACAGAGCAGAATTGTTTCAGTTGTTTCCTGACTGCGGTAGTCCTTGATCAGCTCTCCAGCGAGTTTGGGTGTGGTGCGCTGGCATCATGACCTGAAAAAGGTTTCAGAAGAAGCATTTTGAGAAGCTTGTTGGAGGACGTGGAGTCATGCGTGTGATATAATACAAATTCCTCTAGGATTCTTTTCTATAAACAGGTCAGTGTTAAGTGAAAAGAAACTTAATCCTTACTGGGCACTTGCATATACTCGCTACTGATGATAAGCCCTAATAAGGATGGCGTACAGCGCTTCTAGAAAATAAAGTCCAAGATAGGGGTACACCTTCTTGTT